ACGTCAATAGGAATAATAAGAACTCGCAGGTGGGTAATTTTAAAAGCATCTGCTTTTTTTTAAAGAACCCTAAGAACTTCTTCACCATGCCACTCAGCATGCTTTCTACTCTGCAAGTATCACCTCTCAATATAAATCTGCATGTATTTTTCTGTGCTACTGTGAACTTTGTGATACAAGAGGAGCTACAAACTTCAAAACTGGAAGGTTCAAGAGCACATTGTCAGGGATTCCCACTGAGTTAGTCTTGTAAATTTCACATGTATGCAGGGAAAAAAAATAATAATGAGGTACAGCCCAGTCCTATACATTCTTCTAGCATGTTTCAAAATATATTACTTAGGTGTAAGTAAATAGTAAATAACTGAATTAAAGCACAGAAGATTGCCTTCATATTGAAGACTGACTACCAGATATTTCAGTTGCTCACAAATTAATTAAACTTAGAACCTTCTCAACATTTCTGAAATAAAAATAAAAATAAAAATTAAAAAAAAAAAAAAACAAAAAAAAAACAGGCAGTGCTTATTTCTCCTTATTTCTGTTTTTTACTTTTAATGGAAAGAGAGCTTGCATATTGATGGATGGCCACATTGTAGATGGCTATTGCCCATCTACAGATAAATCAATTAAATTAATGCTACCTATTGCTGATATACCAAATAGTATTTTTTCTCTTCATCAAGAAGGCAGAATAAAGCTGCAGAACAGTGTTTAAAATACTTTTTAACTGTTCTTTTAAAATGTTGAGTTCTAAATTATGGTCATAACTCATGGCGAATCTTAGATTTTTTAGATAGCATTCTTAATTTTATTTGAAAAATGTTCTGCAGAATGAATCATTTGAACAATGGACCAGTTACTGACTCTCTTAAGAGTTAAAATTATGAATTGTCTGCCAAGACTTCTTGTGAGGAAGACTTTGTATGAAATAATTCTCTGTCTAATTATATGTCTACAAAAGATATATAAACATTCATGTTCTATTTTATGAAGCTGATTTCTTTATCGATTCACAATCTTGCCCTTTCTTTAAAGTACCAGTTGATTTACTTCCCTATCGAAAGAGGTGATTGCTTTCAAGAACGATTTGTGTCTTGGTAAACTTCACCTTAAAAAAGAAAACCATTAAAAATTCCTTTATAGGTTTCATAGATTTCTACTCTGAATCTATATTATGTTCTGTCAGAGACTGTTTTGTAACTTGATGCGTGTAAAACATAAGGAAGAGTTAAGACTATCATTATTTTTTTCTGAATTGTTCTGTAATTGAACTACAGGTTTCAGCACTTGAATATACAAGCTGGTAAAAAGGTTCAAATAATCACTTTCTTTTACTCCTTTAGTAAAAATAATATTAAAATACAACAGAAGTGTGAATAATATATAAGTAAAAATAGCATTTAAAAGGTATACAAGCATGAACTGTACCAACCAGAAAAGATGCAGGAATTAATATTGCTGTGTAGCTCCAATATAAACAGAATTTCTAACAAACAACCAGTTCACCAGTTCAAGTAAATGGAAAGCTGCATTCCCTGAGGGAGATACATTATAACTAATGCAGCACAGCTCCCATTCTGTGTTATTATTTCAAATAATAGAATTCTGCATGGCAACATTGCAGACATACAGTTTTTTGAAACTAATGATAATTATACCTGGCCAAAAAGTTCCATCTTGTAATTTTGAGGAACTGCTCAATATGAAAAATTACAAATTGAAAATAGGGAAAGGTAGAAAGAAAAAATGTAATAAAATTTGAATATTTGTCTGTTTTGATCCTCCTACTTAAGATTATAGAGACAATCTAACAGGAAAAACACTCTTAACAACTGCTATTTTAAATTTAACAGGTGCCAGCAACAATACTTAGGGTAAAAATAGCAAGATAGACAGAAAATGCCAAACTAAAAAGTCAAGTAGACACAGATTAAAATGCATTTATATGTGATCCCAATTCTATTTTACCATTAAGGGTTTACCATTAAGAGATGTTTTGATATTTTTCCTAAAGTGATAATTACATATATAAATCATCTGAGGATATATAGCATCTAAGATATACTCTTGCCAGACAGATTTGAAATGGTTAATTTGTAGCTATTGAACTCTTTCAAAGGGCTTTACTCAGCACTGAATTTGCACCTCTCTGAGTGACAGAAGAGTCAGCAAAGGGCTCCACATCTATGAATTTCACACAGTTCAACAGATCTTATACATTAACAAGTTAACATTAAATATTTTCTTGAAATAAGCAGCTAACATTTTAAAAATTTGCCTTGCTGTATTCTAAAGTCCTTGGCAAAAACAAACAAACATAACAACGACAACAGAAATCCACTAAATACTATCAAAAAGCCTGCTACGAACTGCTGCTAAGGCTCATCCTTCAACCTTCAAGATCTGCTCATCTTTATTGCCTTTTTTTTTTTTTTAACATACAACATACTCTTTTCTTTGCAATTACTTCTCTTGTTTAGAGAAGTCAGTGAATGCAGGTCTATGATAAGATAACCTCGACAGACGGCATCTTTTCTTCATTGTTTATTCTGTGTTTCTACTCTTCTTTTTAGAGAAGTGGAAATAAGAGATAAATTTCTCGTTCTTTGGAGGTTTTATTAAGTCTACTTAGCAGGCACAGATCAAACTACAAGGTTTGACTAGATAGGAAGGCAGAATGCAGCTGGAAACCTACGGGTTACAAAGAGATTGAGAAGTGGCACTGAATAAAATAAAGCAGGCACAAAGCTAGAGATATGATCAAAAGTTTAGGGAACAAAGCAACTTAAAATGTCAGTCAGTTAACTGGAATTAAGCCTGTAAGAATGAAGCAACAGGGAAGAAGGGAAGAAAGTATTTCTCTTTTTTTTGATTGCTCTTAGTTGTTTTAAATTTTCTATATCCAGAAAGATTAGTATTGTATTATTTATTCTTTTTAACACTAAGCCTTGTTCGAGGCTTTACTACTTTAAGTGTATTTTGGTCTGTAATTCACCAAAAATTACTATAGGTTGTAAAAAATATATGTAATGAAATAGAAAATCAGACTGTGTACAAAGGAGAAGGAAAAAAAAAAAACAACCATACTTTTAGCTGATCCTGAATGCTTTCATATGCATGTATCACAGAATCACAGAATGGTCAGGGTTGGAAGGGACCTCGAGGATCATGAATCTCCAACCCCACTGCCACAGGCAGGGCCACCAACATCCACATTTAATACTAGACCAGCTAGCCCAAGGCCCCATCCAACCTGGCTTTGAACACCTCAGGGATGGAACATCCACAACCTCTCTGGGCAACCTGTTCCAGCACCTAACCACTCTCTCTGTAAAGAACTTCCCCTTGACATCCAACCTAAATCTTCCCTCCCTCAACTTAAAACCATTTCCCCTTGTCTTGCAGTTATCTACCCTTTCAAAGAATTGACTCTCCTCCTGTTTGTAGGCCTCCTTTAAGTATTGAAAGGCTGCTATGAGGTCACCCCGCAGCCTTCTTTTCTCCAGGCTGAACAAGCCCAGCTCCCTCAGCCTGTCTTTGTAGGGGAGGTGCTCCACCCCCTGATCATCTTAGTGGCCCTCCTCTGGACCCTCTCCAACAGCTGTCTTTCTTGTACGGGGGGCTCCAGACCTGGACGCAGTACTCCAGATGGGGCCTCACAAGAGCAGAGTAGAGGGGGACAATCACCTCCTGTCCCTGCTGGCCACCCCTCTTCTAACGGAGTGCAGGATGCTATTTGCTTTCCGAGCTGCAAGAGCACACTGCTGGCTCATCTTACGTTTTTTTTCATCTAACAGGACCCCTGGGTCCTTCTCTGCAGGGCTGCTCTCAAAAACTGCTCCTTCCAGTCTGTATAAATGCCTGTATGCACACTATGTTTAAATTTTAGAATTCAGATGAAAGTGCTTTCTTATTCTGATCAGCTAGGTATTCCATACACATTAAAATTAAAGAGCATCAGCCAGTGCAACATGCTAATCACAAGGTAGTCAGATCTCTATCACTTGAAGTTATACCAGCGTTTAATGTCTTAAAATAAAATTCTCCAATTAAAACATAAGCCATAGCATTGATGTAGAGTTACTAATAAAACTCTCTTCACTGTGGTATGAAGAACAGTCTATATGGCCATTAGAGCTTACCGACTTAAAATTTAATATGTAAATGGAGTTATGAATAATGTCAGCAGTCAGTGAATTTAAAAACAGTTTTGTCCCCTTGAACTCACTCTTCTTAGAACTGAAATCCCAGCGAGGCTGAGCAAATTTTCAATCAGGTCTTGTTGGAATCATTGGCCTGTCAAAAAACTGTGTATCCTATGTTGCATACCTGATATTTACTTTGGGCAGCAGAGCTCCAGCAAGTACACACCTTGCATCTAACTTATCCTGGAAAGATCAGTCTGACAGAATAGGCAACATACTGTATAACCTGTGTGCCAGACTCAGGAATTGCACAGATGTATACCCCCACATCCCTATGCCCATTACCATGTAAGCAGGAAAAAGTGAGGTCAGTGACTCACAATAATGTAATCAAATTCATGGTTACTTCAGAACATACCTGAAGGTATGCTGTAAGCCCCAGCATTTTACTGAGACTGGCTTCCTTCAACAACATATTTTATATACTTAAATTAGAGATTTCAATTTCATTAGAGTGCTCCCACTTTCAGAGAAATGCTCCCTGAGAAGCTGTTAAAAGGGTTGTAAGGCAAGGTTAAGGACATACTGGGTATTAATTTGATGCTGAAAGCTTTAGAGAATTCACTGCTTACTATATGCATCGATTTCGATGAATTTTGATCCAAAAAAATTACTTGATTCTTCTGTAGAACATACACACACACTTAATCAAGTATTCAAAGCACCATTTTTATAACATATATTATCAATAAACTTCTTGAAATATTGAAATATAGTTCAAAAACTTACATTTACTTTTAAAATTCAGTGCGACTAGTGACAATTATAAGTCTATGGTAGTATTTTTGGTACCTGTAAGTGATATGTTTGTGTTGCCACTTCTGTCCTGTTAACGCATATCGTTTCCGACGGATGTTAAATTTAGAGCTGCCTCTTGTTTGATCAGGCACACCACATCGAGGCTTCTTCATCCAGCTGCAAGAAATGCCATGTAGTTGAAGCAATATGGTAGAAAAATCAGAACCACTACACCCAACTAACAAAAACATTTAACTTTTCCAAAGTGATAGTATTATCAAATTTCTGTCTGCATGAAACTGGCTAAAAAGAGGAAGTTATCTTGTTACCACACATGTATTTTCTGGAGATTCGTTACTCTCATGACATTCAGAAATAAATTTATTTGCTGTTGTTTTTCCTAGTTTTCTTTTGTTATAACCACTGAACAAAGCCTTCACACCTACAAATAGTGAATAACTAGTAATTTACTCTCATTCATTCAAGGTAATTATGATCTGTATCGTTGCCTTGCTTACTGGAGGTGATGTTAAAGTAAATACACACAGGTTTACTCAAATCACTAGTTAGTAGATTTTTTGTTCTATGATCCTTCTATTTTGCCTCCCTGACATTTTATTTAAAAATGCCTGAAGTTCTTCTAATCAAAGATCCCAGACAACTGTCAGAACATCGAAACCTCCAACATCATAATACTATTAATATTATATATATTATTATATAATACTATTTATTAGTTATTACTATCTTATTACTATCTCACTCTTTCTACGCAATGAAGAGAATCAGCTCTGGAAATCTCTAACTCAAGAATTCTGCCTGGGGAAAATTTCTGTGTAGAATGAATTTGAAAAGGTCTAATTCAGAAACAAAAACAACTATTGTGGCAGCACAAGACTTCCCACAGAAATGCTTAGTTTTTGCAGTGGTCTTCATACTTCAGAGTATTCCAGTATTTCAAATACCCCCAGTTTGCCAACATTACAAATTATCGAAAGTAAGATGAAACATGATTTCAGCAGCAGTATCACTGACAGAACTGTTTCTCCCTTGTAGTGTAAGGGCTTATTTAGCTTGATTAAAAGTAACAAAACTCAGTTGAAGCAATGCTTTTACACAAACTGAATAGCTGCAGCACAATTTTCCATCAGGATGATAGTCAGATTTCAGACATTACTTGTGTAAATAAAGCACACACTCCTCTGTTACTTTTCCAGGTCACTGACTTTATTTCTATCATACCAAATAATTACTGATATAAAAAATATAGCTATCCTATAATACATACTTATTCTATATTCAGGCTTGCGTGAATGACTTCCTGACCTGGCATTTAAGCAATGTTTCATAAATACATATACACAATACCTTTATGAATGAAAGACACAGAAGTCACTTGAAATGTCATCTAATTAGAATGTGGACTCCTTTTAAAAATATGTGCAGATAATAAAACCTCGAAAAACAAACAAACAAACAAAGCAACCAAGTTATCTAATCTTTTCCTGTTGATATTTGAAAATTATCTTATTTTGTCCAAAAGAAAACATGGAATATTTGTGACACAAAGGACTATGTTATGTATATATATATCATAGTACCATATATGTATAAATATGTATACACTACACAATCTAATGAGATCTTTGATTTTTCCATTCTGTGCTCCAGGAATAAAATGTACATTGTAAGTTTTGTAACTGCAACTAATAAAGAACAAACTATACTGCATACTGAATGAATGAATTTTTGGAGCAGACTAATGGAATATGGACTTCCAGTCAAATCATCCACAATAATTTTTATAAATGAGCCAAGCTTGTAATGCTTCATTTATAACTATGGATAGAAAAATATCGTTTAAATGTCTAAACAAAATCAGCTTGGAGGAAAATATAAATTTTAGTGACTGCATGAAGTTGACTCTTAACCCCACTTGCATTGATAAACACTATAGCAGAATGTCAGTGGATGACGCCTTCATAAAGTAGTGCAATAGAAGAAACCAAAATTTATACACAGTAACCAACAGTTACCTAAAATTTTGGTCAGTTATCAAACATGAAACAATGATTTGCTTTAATTTCTTGTCAGAATAATTATGGAGTATGTCTCGCACATAAAACTGTTGACTGTATGATATGTGTTTGTAAGGAATATAATGATCTTCCTCTAGTGTCTGAAGACAACAGTGCAAAGTATATAAAATTTATCCTACAAACATTTGCTGAAATACCCTGCAACTTTATTTCAGGTTCTTCTCATTTCTTATAGAAAGTACCAATTCAGTGAAGTAGATATGAACAGTTTCTGGGATGCATTATTTAGGTTTGCTCAAATAATAAAAGAAAATTATAGAGGCATATCCTAACTACAAACCAAAGTTGGCTCTATTCTTAGTGAAATATACTTTATCAAATGAAATATTAATACTTTATCAAATGAAATTAAATTTTGGCTCAGACATCACAAAGCTTTTAAATATTGCCAGTAATAAATTTTCTCACTGAATCATGCATGTTAGGTCATCATGCAGTAACCATGGGTTTTTATGGCATTTATATTATGCTTCTGAAACTGGACACTCAAATTGAAGAAAAAGACGCATGACAAAAAGCAAGTTGTATTACCTTAACATAATAGCACGACATCAAAATAAAGTAAGAAGTAATGAAGAAAAATAAATAACAACAAAAAAGCCCGTTGTACTTTGTTAGAAACAGTTACAAAAACATCAGGGTTTTGTATAAATACATAATATATCACTTACAGTTTTATTGTTTCATGGACAATAATTTCAAATCAATTGAATTAGTTCTTCATCTCCTGTCCTTCCCCCTCAAAAAATTTAACTTAATCAGTTTAGCTAATGGAGCCTCAAATGAATTTGTTCTCCCATTGATTCTGAAGAGCCATGCACCTATCCAGAGTATTATGCTTGCTTCCTTGCCAGTTGGCATCGGCAGGGGATTTTCCATGTTGTCATGCTGTCTATCTCACTTACGTCCTTATGGTTACATGAGAACTGAAACGGTGGTTCATACATAGCATAAATCTCAATGTAAACCAAGTGGAGGCTTTTGCACAAGTGGTTCACTAGCTTTCAGCAACTCATCTTCAAGTGACATTTCAGGAAAGATGCAGTTTTCTCTGTTTAATGCAGTGGAAGAGTTGTACTGTTCACTGATCTATGACCCAGATCCTAATTGAGCTACATTTGGCAATTGGACTTCATAGCAAATTATTAGTAGTAAATTAGTATGACAGTCAAGTCCAGAAATGAGACAAAATGTTAACAATTTTCAGAAGATAATTTACATTTTCACATTTTTCATGTTAAAAGTTCTTTGAACATTGACAGGCCTTATTTTGACTAGGGGGAAAGCTTCTGTTGTTAATCATTAATGCTCATGAAATTTGTGAATACTTAGTGTATAAAATGCTCTTCCATCTGGGTTGTAATTGACATAGAAAACATTCTTTTCTATTTTCTTCTCAATATAGCTGCTTAATATGATCAATGTCTTCCCTGTTCTTGAGTGCTTAGACTTTAATTATTTTAAAAAAATATTTTTATTATTATTATAATTTTTTAAGTTGCATACTAGTAATGGTTGCCTCTCACCACTGTTTCTGAACCTGTGGAACTATCTTATGCAGCAGCCCCTCGATATTAATATTTTATCAGTACTCAATAAAGAGGCTTAATTGTGACGAATGTACTCTATCTGTAGACTATGTCACATCAAATTCTTCTTAGGTCCATTAGTTTAAGGCTTGAAGAGCTATTTATGTCAAGAGAATTAAAACAGTTTAGACTCACGGAAAAGCTGAAAAGATTAAAATAAAAATATGCAGAAAAATTATAATGTTCCTCCAGTGGGAAAAAAAAAAAAAAGGCTGAAGCTAAACTTCCCATGACTCATCCCAGTTGTCTAACCATATTTTGTTCTTTGGGGAGTAAAGGAAGAATTTATTTTTTCCTCCTCATCTTAAACCTTAACAATAAATTGTAAAATCCTTAAAACATCTTTCCTGTTTATCTATAATCAAAATTGTACAATATTTATTATAAATAAATAAATATTTGTTTAGTTGGAGATTTACTGAGTGGCTGGAGGAGCATTTTAAGAAGAAACAAACACTAAATACCACAGAAGGAAAATAAAATAGAGAGTGTAAAAAATTCGGTTTGACTTTATGGCTGGAAAAACTGTAGAATTTTATTTCAGTACAGTTTACCACTGAATTGCCCTGAATCTTCTTGTGAGGAGAGAGAGACATGTTTTCTAAATGTCTTTATCCTTCTCTACTGCATTCTTACTATTATTACAGGACCTTACTGGCATTCCTCTATGTAATAGAAAGCAGTCAAAGAGTGATATATGATACTTTCAACCCTTTTACTGAGGATGCTGTTTCTACAAGGCTTCTTACTGAATGTCTGCCAAGGGAACAAGACCTTATCTATACCTTTTGCACAAACCCCAACATTTACAAATAACATAGACTGCTGAAACAATTTCTGTGGCTCAAAGTTTACCACCATTTCTTATTTTGTGACTGGTAATTAATGTAGATGCAGCAGAGATCATGGAGAAATACAATTATATTTTAATTATAATGTATGAATTAAACTTTATTAGAAGCTCTTGAGAGCACTAAAGTGACCACATTTGCTATTTATTTCTAAAGGATGATATTAGAATAAATCATTTATTAACACTGAATAGATTTCTTCAGCATCCTATGCAATATCATACAATCTGTATACCAAGAATGTATAATGTACTCCTTAAAATGCAAAACACATTTTAGAAATAAACCAGTACACCAGTTTTATGAGAAGACAGCAACTGACTACTCTTTCTCTACTTAGTGGCTTTTTATAGGGATGTGAAAGACCGGGAAGCCGACTGTGGGTCCATTTCCAGAAGTTCTGTATGGAGTCACTGACTGGGTTTATTAATATATAAATGAATCACATACAATAGTGTTGCACTCCATGCAAATGTGAGACAGTACTTTCAATGGACATGGCATGGTAATACTACTTCCATTCAGAATGTCCCTCATTTTTTACACTATTATGATAAGATCCATTTCTACCACTCATTGCTCCTCATCCCCAGCAATAAGCATATAACAGGTTTTTCAAGCCACCTGGGAAACAAATTAAAAAACATAGCAAAATTAAGTGAATGGTGAGAGGAGGGAAAATGAACACTGTTCACATTTATGCATGTCAAAGTAGTCCATGAGGGATTAACTGTCTCTCAGAACAAGCTTCCTCCAGGAGACATTTGATAATGATGCTACAGGACATTATTTCTCTGTTAATATTCTCAACTTGATTCAAGTTACTACAACAACTTCTTTTAATTGTTCATTTTTTTGCAGACTAAGAGGCACTTTGTAATCACTTTTCAAGACATGCTAGAGAAGCAAGTATGCACAAGACGAGAACATGTTTCTGTGAGGTTCCTGCTGCAGTCTTCATTTTGAAATCCCAGTATTTTTTGTGATTATAATATTAATCACAAAGAAACAAATGTTAAATTGTCACATATTTCTGGACAAAAGACAGTACGTATTCTTTCTATATAGACAAAATGGAAAATGATTGCAAATATTTACAAATCACTGCCATAAATTAACAATTAATATATATATATCCTTTGTTACATAGCCACTTCATGTAAGAATATTCAGTGCTGTTAAATAATGGTAACTTGAGGCCAACTTGAATTTAATGAGTTTCTTTTTTCTCAATGCAAATGAGACAAGTCTTTAAGAATCAGGCTGTTTCCAGCTTGACTCAAGTTAATACAACTCCAAATATGAACATGTAATTCATTTGGCATAAGTCACATATACCAAAGATTGCTGTGTGTTCGTCTATCTTTCTATGTGGAAGAAACTCGTGATCGGAAAACTCAGTTTTCAGTAGCTTGTAAAATGAATGCTTTGGACTGCTACATGGTTGTATTCCTCTGCCTCTTACATAACTGAAGAAATGAGAACAATCCTGCAAACATAAAGTACTTTCCTTTGCAATTAAAGGCTGTTTTTATTTTTTTTTAAATTGTTTTAGCTTTTGTTTTGTTTTTAACTTACTGACTGATGCTCTAAAGCAAGAGATGGCCTCTGCTTTACTTTTCCTTTCCTGCTCTTTAGTCTCTCTTTTCTCCTACCTGTAAACAGATTATTTTCCTTTTAGTGAAATATATTGCCTCTTACAAAGCTGCCACTAATGTGTCTTTATAAGGCTACAAGCAGTGGGTGTAGTAACATTCTCTCCTCAAGGATCTATCAGTGAAGCTGCATAAAGAGCCCAGTCTTTCCACCCTGCAGGCTGGATCATAAACATACCTCTGAGCACAGCTCCCTCGCAAGGCATTTCCTGAGCCTACTGCTATTGCACTGCCTTTTCCAAGGCCCTTTAAATTCCAAAACTGAGGGATGTCTAATCGACTCACCTCCCCTTAGGGCAGCCCTAAAATCTGCTTTGCTTTATTGCTTTTCAATGCAATAATGCATGTGCCAGTGGAATAAAATGATTTTTCCAATTCTGCCAGCATTTTAGGCAGTCTCTTCCCTAAACCGTAAATGACTGAAAAATCATTCATGTCAGCTACATTACTAGAAAAGAATTACAAAAGATGACACATTAGATTGGGACTGGTAAGTTTGGTAAGGAATTTTTTCTCCTCCCAAAAAATACTTAAGAGAAATAGGAGGAACATACTTCATTCAGGTAAATGTTGGATGTATTATTTTGATACTGTTTGCTTTTCAAGCAAAGTAACTTCTTCTAAAATCATCAATAATTCTTACTGCATTTTAAGTGGAATCACTCCAACACTTCAAGTCTTAGACCCTGATAAGTTTCTCTCAATACTTCTGGTACATTTCTAAAATTTGTCATAGTATAGAGTTGTTTGGAAGAGACTTTTAATCTCTCTTTTCCACACAGTTTGTGCACAAAATCAGATGCTGCCTGCCTTACACGATTTCATAATTGCAAAGGGCATGCAAAATTAATCCAATTTTTCTGCATGTGAAAATGACCACACTTGGTCTTTTGTTACTGGAAACCATGAAATGAATGGGCCATTGGAGTGTGCTATGTTTTGCAATGAGGATAAGGGAATTTGGAGTAAAGATTTTCCACTGTGAAACATTTTGTGAATTCTTGTCAGTTTGGATTAGGCTTCTCCAGTTTCACACTGGACTCTTGGCCTTTACTTTAGTTAACCCTGAAACATTTTCTCATGCTCAAATGTATTCAGCAGTGGCAGCTGACTACGTGCTATCATAAAATACAGCAGAACAAGATGAAAATAAAAAAATCAAGGAGAAGCAGAAAGATTTTTGCTCCCCATCTGAAGATGGAATTCTACTTGGGTATTCTGGTCACCCTACTTTGTGTGTCATAAAGTTTTTCCATTTCTATTTTATTCTTCCTGAAACAGAAAAGTCAAGAGCAGTTCAGTACCAGTTACTTACTCAATCGTGTTCCTGTCCACTTTTCCTGTCATATTAATGCCATAGAACTGCTGCATGGCAGCTATAGCTGATTGCATGGTTTCTGCAGAGCGCAACACCGACATTCTGGGGTCAGTTGGTGGAAGGTAGCCATACTTTTGTAACCATACCTGCAATGACAAGTTCAGTGGCTATTAAATAGAAATTAGAGGTAAGTAAAATGCTCCCCAGTAATTAGTTTTGTATGCTATATAATGAAATTTCTAATTCATCAAGCATAAAACCTGTTAGTTTGTTGGAGGTATTTCTGCAGAGAAGAAATTCTTTATAGCTTTTATTTCTTCTCCTTTAATAAAGATTCTATTCTTTCAAGACTTACAGTGTTTTGTACCCAGGAGTCAACTCTTTATTATCTGAAACTACCTGCTTCAAATATTTTTAATGTATTTATTTATTTGAAGTTACAGCTTAAGCACTTATTCCTGGCAATATGCACTTCAACGAAATTTAAAGCAGACGAAATATAAAATCTATTGCATATAGGGTACATAATAATATTCATCAACTATAATAAATCCACAATAGCTTTCACACACACTGCTTCGCTATCTTCCCTCGAAAAACACAAAAAAGAGAGTGAGGAGAGATTCGGTTTTCCAGGAATGTAAAACTTGAATACTCAAGAGCAAAGCAAGTGGTTGGGCGACAGGGAAGCAGCAGAGTCTGTGCACTTACAGGAATCTCCCTGGTAAGAGGATCCTCCTCTTCAGATCAAGACAGATTTAGTGCCAACTGTTTATGCTCTTAATTGTGTAGAAGTGAGAAGAAGAGGACATCGTCCAAATAACTGAAAGCATTATGGATTAAAGCCAATATCTTAAGTACACCTGGAAAATTCTCAGAAACCTGCTGTCCTCTTGAGGCAATGTTTCACAAGCAAGTAGCTGCAGTTATCCTAATGTTTCTAAGTATTCTAAAAATCTAGTCTATACAAAGGACAGTGTAAGGCTTCTGAACTGATGAGAGTAATTATATAACTTTGAAAATGTCTTAGCTTCCCATCCAAGGATTGGAACATCTCACTGTAGTGAAAAGCGCACATATATTGCCGCTGTATGAGCTACAGTTAGATTGCATTCCTTTCATTTCACTCCCCACAGTAACAAATCACCTGCAATCCCATAAGTCTGATTCTCCATTCTTAAAAAAAAATAAATAAATAAATAGAAAGAAAATTATATTCAGTCATCTCTCTCAAACGTGTCATATCCCAGTTCATAGATCCAGAATCATTAAAAAACTGCATCTACCCTCCCTTTACAGTGCACTGTGAGCTATGTGTGCCTCATAAACATAGTTGACACACAGTCTGACACCAAACATTGCATTTTACAGTTTTCAACCTTATGTTTAGCTGGAAGAGTCCAGTCCAGATAGCCATGTTTGTTTGGCACTCCCATTTTACACAGTTAAAAAGAATAAGCTTCCCACAGAAGTACCTCTAGTAGATCAAGTGGATCAATTTATTGTTATGGTTAACCTTATTGTGCAGTGAAAACATATTACAGGTGAACACTGTGAAGGATCAGACTAGCACTAGATATATGGAAAATCTTCAGGTTATGAGCTCAGATATTTATGATTTTAAAAGCTTTACCTACCCATCACACAGTACATACAAAATCTCAAAAATGTCATGAGGTTCAGACAACAGAAGTATGAAATACAGACAGGATTAAGATTTAGCCCAACCACTCTCACCCTCACCTTATCTCTTTATACAAGAGCCATTCAGAAATGAGAAAAAAAGCATATTCAACAGACAGGATAATGCTCTTATTTCCAATTAAACTGAATTGCTACAATCTGTACCTAATTCAAATTTGCATACACTTGACTTGCGCTTTCCCGCTTTGAGGATGAACTTGTGAACTTTAAGTTTGTATTATTTTGTGACGTCACACAGATCATTTAGCTTATCTCTCATTTCCTGTAGGAAGTCTGCTTTTCCTTCCGTTATTGGAGGATGGCTCTGAAAGGACAGTTAGAGGTGGAAGGCTGGAAAGAACAATTTGATAAGTAGAAACTAGACAATGGAAGCAACAGATCAGTTTGACTTAGAGAGTGTTGCTTTCAGGGTAACATGTAAAGTTCCTCTGAATTAATATTTACAAAGAGTACATTTAAGACTGGGGTTATCTCAAGACTCATCAAGTCAGTGCGGAAAAGTCAAGAGGAAGAATGTCAGCGTGATATTAAAATAAATGATGAGTTACGGAAGAAAAATAATTCTGAACAGCATATCACTGCTGTCTAAAACAATGCCACTTTCTCAGCATGAATTTGGTGTACAGACACTCAGTGACACTCCATGACGTTCTATTTAAATGCTAAGGGCACAGAAAATGCTCAGTAGGCTTGAGAGGTGTTTCACCACTCAGAAACATCCTCACTGAAGGAGATAGGAATATGGGCTTATAAGTTAGCAGATTTACCAGTAGCTAAAGCTTTGGATATCTAAATTGGAAAAGCCATAAGGAGAGTGAGAGACAAAAGAGCTTGAGGGAGTATTGCTCATGGCAGAAAAGGAAAAGACTGGACAAAGTACAATTAAGCACAGTGCTGCTGCAGACACAGGGAAAAATTAAAAGAGAAACAGCAAGAAAGGACGGTATAGCCTATTCCCTCCTTATAATACAGAATGACTGATAATCACTCCCTAACACTGAATAAAAGGAGCAAACTGCCTCTGTGTTCAAAATAGCAAATAGAAGTCTACATATTTGAACATTTGAGGACAGTCTGAAAGCAAGTTCATTTTTCTGAAAATTCAAAGAAATTGGATTCCAAAGACTAGTAACTGGTAAATGGCTGGAGAGCAAGACCTGATACTATTAAAAGCTGTTAGTGTTCTGTATTATCATGCATCATGAAATGAAACAAAAGACAACGAATTTGATTCCTGTGTTATTCCTCAGATTCTCTAGACTTCTGCTTCGAGATTTTGAAGGTCCTTGGCTCTGCCAAATAAATGAAAAATGCTTCTAAGAGCTGTGCACAGTATAAATGATGGGAACTATGAACGAGAAACTTAAGTCCAAAATATAGAGGAGGTGAAAATAAGAAAGAGGAGAAGAATAAGAATGAGGCAGTCACAGTAGCAGAATAAGTTAAAAGAATTTTCTCACATCCTTGTAATTTTGAGGCAACCTATTTAAGAAACTATGGCCACAAGAATTTCCCATTCCCTCACTAATGCAATTAAATGTCTTTCTGTATTAACACACTTCAGTAATAATTTCAGCTATTCATCTGTCACTGAGAAACTAAATTGTCTTGGTAAAAGGAAGTAGTGAAGTAGATCCATCTAACATAGATGCTAGAAGGAAATTCTTTACTCAAATGATGATGAGGCACTGGAAAAAGTTGCCCAGAGAAGCTGTGGATAACCTATCAGGCCAGGTTGAATGGGGACCCTAGACAACCTGAGCCAGAGGGTGGCAACAATGCCGACAGCAAGGAGTTGAAACTGGATGATCTTTAAGGTCCCTTCCAACATAAACCATCCTATAATTCTGTTAACATAAAATCCAGGATGTCAACAGAAACACTTCACACAGACTCCAGAATCAGTGTTAACTCTCATTCCTTTATGCAGTTTAGAAAGATTAAATATTGCTACTTCAAGTAGAGCTTTTGGGAAAGACTTTTCTGTCCTGCAGCAATCTGACAGCCAAGTAACCTCTCTCTTATGGTAAGCACAGAAAAACATAGCTGCAAGACAACAGGCTCTATCACTTCCCTCTCCATTATAGTGCTTTCCTATCCTACTGCTGTGAGGTTTGCCTCAGAGTTGAACCTCTATTGTTGTACAATTGTTGAGAAGCCTGTAGCTTCTCATTTTACCTGCTACAGGTGAAAGGAACTGATTATTCTTGTCCCCTCTCCAGCAGCCTTTTATGTATTTGAACTCTCTTGTGTGAGTCACTCCAATCTTTTTAAAATAAAGATAACCCATTTGTTTAATCTCAGAGACTTTTCATTATTCACACTAATTCACACTGTAGGAAATCAGAAGCTAAAATCCCTCTTTACTAAACATCTGCTTGCCCTAGATTTGTATGTTAGTTCCCATGGTTGGCTTGTTAACAAACACTGGAATTTAAATGAACAGTATTAGGTTCAGAAGGAACTGAATACTCAAACATATTGTTTTGGATGAATTAACAGAAACAAAATTAGCTTAAAACTACACATTTTGTTCTCAATTCTGGAAACTCATGTTTATGTCTCTCTTTTTTTTTTTTTTTTTTTCCCCAGACATTTTAAAATGATAAAACTATGCCTTTCACCATGATCTTTTTCATTAGCAAAATTCCGTCATACAATTTCAGCTTCTTATTTCAGAACTGTAGGGAAAAAAATTAAGCAAAACTCAGAGGTGAGGAAACCTAGAGAGATGCTAGGAGTTTGTAAGAGATACACAGATTCTGAAGCAGTCTACAGAACCCATGTGTTCAGCACGTGTTGTATCACTTTCCAGATTTCGGATGTCATTGCCAATATGCTTAGGCTACTTTGTTTGTTTGTTGATGTATGTATTTCCAACCATGACAGAAAGATCTTTTCTATATTCATTTGAATCTGATATGAATGCTGGGGTATACCCACCATCTGGCTACAGAACAGATATAATTTTGTCACTTGTCTCTATGTTTGTTTCCTCTAAAAGATAAAGTATGTGTTAATTTAAAGTGTATGAAATACACCAATGAATTTCAGCCATTCAGGTCTTTACTCTTTAAGGAAAGAGTGCTCTTTAAAACAGTATGTTGACACTAAAGTGTTACTGAGAACAAAGAAATCCCATATATAATAATTAAAGATGAAACAAGATTATTATGATGATAATCAGAGTATCTGAGAACTCAGTAATTTCTATGATAGAAAGGAATTTATCAACGAATCATGAGTGTTACAAAATGACAGTGCATAGTATAATACAGTATATTTGTGTTCTAAAAACCTGAAAGCTTAATAAATTAAACAAGCTAAGAAAGCATGGATCAAAACAATTTCACAAACATCTTCAGTAGTGCAATTGTGTATCATTATTATTCATGTATTCCTGTTCCTTTCTCAGATTTTATCGTAAAAACCAAATTACTAA